CTGTCCGGAACGAGGACTTTTACCATGATCCACAGCAAGAATATATACCTCATACGTATCCTGTTCTTCTCTGTCAAACGCTCTTAGAGTTGTCACTTCACCGGTTGCGCCATCAACTGTGAACTCACTGAAATGAAATCCAAGCGCTTCTTATTATTCGTCTATTCGGAGGTCAACAGGTAACTAATGAATTCACTCCATATATGTTGTGAATTTTGCAATATCCTGTGGTATACCCGCCTTCGGTGGGGGTGGGGGTGGGGGTTATTGCATAAATATATTACACTGTTTTGCTAACAAAGTATCAATATTGGTATTAGCTTACCATTACTAATATTTGTACTATAATTATTTATATTCCGTTTACAAAACAATGAGCTATATTGCAATATTTCTGGTTAGGTTGCTTTTTTGTTCACAGCAAGCACCAGCCGGTTCTCACCAAGTGTCGTAAAGACTGTGCTCTTTCGTTTTTTATCACCGAACGCCTTGAGTGGTTTCACACTCGATGCATGCGCACAAAAACATAGAAGCTATAATAAATTAATAGTACATACAGTTACCCATTTAGGCAACGTAATATACTCACTTAGACAGTCTGTCAACAATTGTATAGGTCCATTCTGCATTTGTTCCGTCGTCTTCGTCTGTGGCCTGTAAAACAAAACAAAACGATACAAATTTAAACTAAGGCAGTGTGTTTGTAATTTGTCACATGGAACGGTAATAAATTAAGATTCAAAATAATGGATATGAATAATAATTATGTTAATACGAATACCATCAAATTGAAATAATTGTTTATCACATACCGTCACGTACGTAATCATTACACCTCCTGCTTCCTCCTCTAGAATCATTACACTGGAGTCGTTCGCAGTAATTACAGGGTTATTGTCATTAACGTCAGTAACTGTGACTAAGAGGAAGGTTGTGTCATTCTGAAAATAAATACATGCCACAGATCTACTAAACTATAACGAGAAAAAAACGACGTATGTTCAAGACTAAAGCTTGTGCACGTTTTACTCCTTGTACATGTTTACTGATTGGTTAGAATGTTAGGTGTCTGGACCCGAATTTTACTGGGGTATTTACTAACTTCATTTGTTATATATAATAGAATTGAAAATGATAATACGTACGTGATTTGGATTCTCGTCACGTACACATAACGTTAAATTGTGGTAGGTCTTATTCTCCCGGTCTAGTAAGTCTATTAGAGAAACCTCGCCTCTGTAATTACAAAGCAGTTATATTGTTATTGCATTACCAGCTCGAAAAAACAAGCACTATGCGTAAACAATGCACTCCGGTAATTCACTTTCTAATTCCTAGCACATTTGTCGGGTTAGTGGAATTATACTTCTAATTATTAAGAAATATAATCGCTGCAGTATTGACTATAATAATGTATTTTCTGTAACAAACAAATAATTCCCATATA